TCTCATCCGTTTACTTTGCCCACTTTCACCCCTGTAGGAAGCTCTGCTCTCTTCCCTGTCACAGGAGCACTGAATAACCATGCAGGTGGTAGCAGTGGAGTGGCTTTTAAAATCCAGTCTTGAATCCAGAGTTCACCTCTTCTCCCAAACAGAGATACGAGGCACTGTTGCCAGTGTGGTTTCCTAAGAAACACAACTTATGCCATGGTGATGGGTGTGTGAGGATGTGTGTATGACTGGCTGTCCCAATCTTTCAGTGTTTTGGATGCTCTGGGCTGATACCATATATGGCTGCAGGTGTAGGAGCTTCAGGCACATTCATCATCTCCACTATTTCTGTGAAAACAGGATGCAAGGCAGTGATATTAGCCATTGTCACTGAGGGGAAGAACTTGCGTGAACCCAACCTTTACTAGGCACCAGAGATCGTATGAGAGGGTGCTGCTGAGGATAGCCCTGACCCTTCCTAGAGCAGCTATCTCATGTGTTTAGCCCTTTCTAAGAGTCAGCAGAAGCTTTGACACTTCGTGAAGTGGGGCTCCATGATGGCACAGGACCCCAGGAGGTCCCAGTGCACTTAATGCTAGCCACGAGTGTGAAGGTAAGACCGGCACTTGGAACTGGCTGGGGAATCTGCTGCGGTTATCAGAGAGCCACGGAACGGTTTGGGTTGGAAGGGACCTTACAGACCATCCAGTTCCCACCCCCCTGCCATGGGCAGGGGCAGGGACACCTTCCACTAGACCAGGTTGCTCCAAGCCTCATCCAGCCTGGCCTTGGACACTTCCAGGGATGGGGCATCCACAGCTTCTCTGGGCAACCTGTCCCAGTGCCTCCCCACCCTCTCCGTGAAGAATTTCTTCCTGATATCTAATCTAAACCTCCCCACTCTCAATTTAAATCTACCACCCCTTGTCCTGTCACTACAGGCCCTTGTAACAAGTCCCCCCCAGCTTCCTTGTAGCCCCTTCAAGTACTGGAAGGTGCTATAAGGTCTCCCCGGAGCCTTCTCTTCTCCAGGCTGAACAAGCCTAACTCTCCCAGCCTGTCCCCATAGCAGAGGTGCTCCAGCCCTTGGAGCATCTTTGTGGCCTCCTCTGGACTCGCTCCAACTGGTCAATATCCTTCTGATGTTGAGGGCTCCAGAGCTGGACGCAGTACTCCAGGTGGAGAAATCTACCCATTTTCAGCCTTCCTACCTGAGGAAGCTGTTGTTTGTGGGAATGACATGGCCAAGAGCTGCTCAGGCAGGGGAGGAAACCACTTGGCGTAGAGATATTTGAGGGATTTTGTGGCATCAGTCACAACAGGACACACTGTCTCTCCAAAGTGCCCAGATGCTACAAGTCCAGGGGTCCATGCTGGCTCCCAACAGTCACCAGTGATCTGAAGATACCTCCATATAACTTCCTAGGTAGACTTTCTATGGACATCTCTCCTTCCCCTTCGGTAACTTCCTAAGCTTGAATCTGTGATGCCCTTGAGCTTTAAGACCTTTGTCCCTGAAATGCTGGGCTAATATTAAAGGTAGTGGGGACAGCTAGACCTGGGTCTCATAGCCTTGGATGGCAGCTTTCTGCCATCTCTGAATACCTTCCCCTGCTCATGAGAAGGTTGTATGCTGCTATAGTGTCTCCTGAAGCAAGAGAAAAGGGCTGTGACAAAGCTGCCATGGTGTCACCTCTGGACTTGGCTGCTTTGCCTGCTCATTTTGTGTTTGTTTGCTTTTTCCATGCTGATTCAATCAATTAAGTCATTCTGTGGGTCGTGCCAAGCACTGGCAGGATGGCATCAAACATATGATAGAGATTGTCTTTGGGGACATGTCATTCCCGCTTTGTCCCTTTTTATATAGCTTCTCCTAGCTGTCAGGCCCATCTCATGTGCCTGTTCTTTCCCTTTTCCCGTACGCAACCTGATGAAATGCACCTTTCCGAGGGAAGGGAACCAGTATTTGGTTCGGAGCTAGGTCTCACCTGAGCCCATGGCGAGATTTCTTTCTGCTGTAGATACAGAGGCTCGTGTAAGCTGGAAGGTCCACCGGAGGAGAAATGTGCCATTGATCTCTTTTAGGTGCCTTGCAATGACAGCATCTTGCATAAATACTTCTCTTTCACATAGCCAGGCTATGTAGCAAATAAAGCACAACTAGGTTTTTAAGAAATGTGGCAGCATTACTGTGGCTATCAGCATGGACCAGCACGGTCGGTGCTTCTGAAGCTGAAGGCTGTAGGATGGACTGACCTGCTGGTGGAACAGAGGGCTCCAGCTTAAGCAGTGTAGTTTGAATACTGGTGTCCTGTGATCTGCTCACCCCTCAAAGGGTTAACGAGTCACTCCTGCCTTCAGCCTGGTGATGCTCTGCCAGGGCTTGGAAGCTGGCCCTGCGTAGCCGCTGCTCAACCTCCCAATGATAAATCATGTCAGGATACAAAACTGATTCCAGTCCTTAAAAATGAATAGGTGATTTGAAAATGCCCGGTGCTGGGTGTGAATTCTGCATCCCTCTCATCAATCACTTGTCATAAATAACATTAACATTCAGGAGTCAGCAGAAGGCGGGCAGGTTTGGAGGGGGAAGAAACATGAAGTGATTTGCTGGTATCTTTTGTAGACCAGAATGGCAGTTTTGTTTCCCATTTAGGTAGTTGAGCAAACTTTATGTTCTCTTCTCCCTGGGAAAAGGACCCTCTGTGCTCTGCCAGCCAAAATGTGGCAGTAAGCAGAAGTAAAGCTGGGAGGTAGGAAGTGGGACAGGGCTTGGTTGAAAGAGGATGGGCTGAGAGGGAAAAGGGTGCAGAACAGTGGGACCCACAGCTGTTTGCTCCAGTTGCTGCATGGCCTGGGGTTTTCTCCTTATCCCCATGATCCTGTTGTCTTTGAGCGCGATTGGGGCACTTGACACTTCTCAGTGTGGTGGGAAGCTGTGGTGACATCATCAGGGAAAGGACGTGCTCAGCCACAAGCCCTTCCAGAGCCGCCTGCTGCCAGCGGGTGCTGGCCAGCGGCACCTCAAGCCAAATGAGCTATCATCGCCCACAGAGCCACAGCTTTCCAAGCCGTGTCGTGGATCTGGATGCCCCATTAGATTCCCATTAAGGCACACAAGTGTTTAGGTGTCATTGGCTTACAGCTAAGCTGAGCCTGGTGCAAAGACCCGCCGTGGCTCTCCGAGCGCCTTTGTGGGAGGAGGTGTCAGGGAGGGCTGCGGCAGCAGGGACCCACCGAGGAGACTTCGGGTTCAAATTTTTTGCTGACTGTTTGTTTGCTGGATGGATTTGCTCCTGGTTTTGTTTTGTAATGGCTTTATTGCCATAGATTATAGCTTTAACTGGTGTCAAGGGCACCTAGAGTTCTGGATCACCTTCCTTTAGGGACGCTTAACTCTCAGGAAATCATGCTGTTGCAGTTAGGAAATTAAGCGGTTGCCAACTACTGGGGCTGAGTGACTTTCAGCCCTGAGGGTGCCCGTGAAGTGTCCATGAGAGGTAGCATGGGTGGGAGTGGGAAAAGCGC